ATTGAGGGTATTTTACATTGATATATCTAGAGATTTAGCATAGGGAGAGACGAGTGTAGATAGCTTTTCTTGGCTTCATCCGTCTTGCCTTGAGAACACGTGCTATTTGAAAAAGGAGTTTGAAATCTGCTTTGCCATACATCCTAATTATATTCTTTGTGTGGGTTCTTGCTTTTATAGTCATGATAACTGTTGCTTTGTGCTTAGTGGGCCAGCTCACAGCGGTTATTGTGACGGGTAATGAATGATGTTTATTTGCGCTGTACGGTTGACCACATCTGGGGGTGAGAACATGCTGGCAGCTAATTGGCCTGGCAAATGATCAGGCTGCTACAAAACAGGATCTTGTGTTAGGCAGAAAAACAAAATCACAAGGAAGTGTCACAATTTTCTCTTTCTGGTGGTTTCTAGTGGAAATGGCGAACATGAGCTGTGGATATGATATTGAGACCTCCTCTATTGCGTGCATTTAAATCAGTGCTTCAGATCAATTTGCAGGTATTGACTGTGAGTTAAGCTCATGTTCAGTGGTTTGTATTAATTACTGGTTGATATAGTTGTGCCTGTCTGCCTTTGCTCTCCTTTTTGTCCTGGCGCATTTGTGTGCTTGATGTTTGAACTGATCATGTTGGCGAATGTGAAGGATGAACAACTCCGTGGGGAAGTTGGCACCATGCTGCTTGGAATCGAGCAATTTCCTAGAAGTGATGCTGCTGCAGCTTCGAAATAAGATCTCAGACATTTAGATTTCTTTAAGCTTGATGGAACTAGAAACATCAAAAATGAGGGAATTGTGGTAATTCTGTGATGAGACCGCAGCAAAGATCACAGTTTGCATTTTCATGTCTTACTGATGTGTAGTTTAGCTCCTTCCCACAGAGACTGAGCCTTGCAGGTATTCCCCTTCCCCGCAGACTGCTTTTTGCTGGAACCAGGCAGTTGTCTTAACTCCAAGCTTGGTAGCATGAAATGGGAAGAGTAGAAAAAGCTGCTTATTCCTTACAAACGAGGATGATCAGAGGGCTGGAGCACCTCTCCTATGAAGACAGACTGTGAGAGTTGGGGCTGTTCAGTCTGGAGAGAAAAAGGCTCCAGGGAGACCTTATTGTGGCCTTCCAGTATCTCAAGGGGGCTACATGAAAGCTGGTGAGGGGCTTTTTAGGATGTCAGATAGTGACAGGACTAGGGGGAATGGATTAAAGCTAGAGATGGATCGATTCAGACTGGACGTTACGAAGAAGTTCTTCCCCATGAGGGTGGTGAGACACTGGCACAGGTTGCCCAGAGAGGTGGTGGAAGCCCCATCCCTGGAAGTGTTTAAGGCCAGGCTGGATGGGGCTCTGAGGAGCAGCCTGATGTAGTGGGGCATGTCCCTGCCCATGGTGGAGGGGTTGGAACTAGATGATCTTTAGGGTCCCTTCCAACCCTGACAGTTCTATGATTCTGTGATTCAGTGTTACTAAGAAGGAAGAGTAAAGTTTGCATGTTCTGCTGAAATCGTTTTGGTGACAGTATTCAGCCTCCCCCATTTTAAAACCTATTTGTGTATCTGTGAGTGTTTAAAATGACTGGATCAACAGGTCAAAGTAACACGCAGATTTGTGGTATTAAATAGCCATGTGGTAGAGAGTAGCTTTTTGGAGGGGCTTTTGGGCCTTTCTAGCGTTGAAAAGCAGTTTGTGGCATCTGACACCACAAAGTACATCTGCTAAGCAACCCGGTTTGTAAGCTAGGTGCAGATGTGTTCTTAGTCACTGTACATAACATCTGTCAGAACAGAATAGATTCTATCAAATAAACATGGCAGTACCATTTCTTTTTTGTCTCTGCAAACTTTGCTTGTACCTGAATGGGTTCTCTGAAATTTACTTTTTTTAAAATTTTGCCCGTTCCTTCTACTTAAAACAACTTTAGTGTTTATTTATTTTATGAAGAGCGTGTGGATATTGTTAATTTTTCCTTTTGAACAGATGTTAAATAGGTGAATCAAAGGGACAGGTGGATTCTATTTTGCTGGATGAGCTGCAAAAATGTACATTAAATAAGCCTTTAGCTTGTTTGCCTACTCTGAGCTATTTGTGATGTTAACTGAGAGGACCAGATGCCTTGCAAGCTCATTGCAAGCATTATGTAGAAGAAGAGGGGCCCTGTTGTTTATTTGGTTGATTCTCCAAAAACAATTAAAAAAAAATCGTGCTTATATAATCAGGAGTTTGATGCTGTAAAAAGGGAAGGGAAAATATGGTGGCTTAAAAGCTTGCTGTGGGATTACAGTTGTTTTTAGCACTAGACGGTTAAGTGTCTTTTACTGCGGTGTCTCTGAACTCCCATAACTGATAATTTAACTGCTAATTCAATTGTGTGGTGATTGATTGTCATGAATGATTCCTTGAAGAGCACTACAAAAGTTATCTGTTTTTATTAACTGAAGTGGTTTTTGCTTCTTCTGTTCACTTTGTGTGTTGGCACCCAGTGCTGTATCTGATGAATCTATGTGAAAATGGTGTATACATAGAAAATGGTAAGCAAGACATATTTGCTAGAAAGCATTTTAGAGCTCGTTTTTATGTCCAGAAGGTTGTGCTAATCCTGTTTTGCTGCTGAACTTTGACCATTATATTGCTTTTGCCGTAAGTAAAAAAAAAACGTATAATGAAAAGATTAAGAAGAGATATTTTTTTCTCTCCAACAGTTCTATTCTATTTATAACTATAAATCTTTTTTTTTTCCCTCCCTCCTCCCTTGCATCTGTAACAGCTAGCCGATGGCGGAACCTCTTCTCTACGCCTGTCTCCTTGGCTTTTCCTTATAGTCCTGTTGCAAGACTCACCCCATATACAAATGGCTTTAATAGTCCCAGCTTCTCTAAAACCTCCAGTAAAGCAATACTAACACCTGAACGGACAGGTAATGCTTATCTTTTTGATGATTTATGGTGCTTACAAAATTGCTTGATTTAATCTAATCTTGCTAGCATTTAACATCCATACACTGTTCAGATGGTTGTATGCGGACTAATCTCAGAGGGAGTTTTTTTATTTTTTCCCTAAATGCCCTAAAATTTAGGAATTAACTAGCCATGTAGGTTATCTTCTGTGTTTTCATAGCATAGTATAGGAAAGTGATGCTAATAAATAGAGCCTATTTCTCAGTAATAATTTACCTGAGAGTATAGTTGCGACTATGTCGGCTTTGAAACAGTGCCCAGCTTTGCCTGCCCTTTACTGCTCATTTCTGCCCCACTGTGCGCCATCCTTATGTCTACAGAAACATTTGTGTGGCTGTGTGATGAAGTTACAGAGAGAATTTCTAAACAAGCCAGCAGAATCACAGCTGTTTTCAAGCCGGGATTGTTGCTGCTATCCTAGGATTTATTATATGTTTGCCACTGATTTTCAGGGGATGCAGAAGTTTTAGGAGAAATACAAACTTTCTGGGGGCTGTAAATTGCAAAGAGCTGCATTTTTCCTTCTTTGCTACAGGTATCAGGAATTTAATTTATATCTGAGACTTCTCTTAAGCTGCAGTGGTGGTGCAGAAAATAATCTTCTGGGGAAGAGGCGTTAACGTTTTATTGCTGATGGGAGCAGGTGTGGTCTAAGAAAGTTAGCATCAGTGTCACACTGATGTGTGCACAATTTTCTGTACAATGGGTAAAATCAGTGCAGAAAGCCCTATTAGGAATATGAGCACTGCAGGTGAGATACAGCTCCAGACAGCACCTGGTGTGAGTGAGATATCTAAACTCCCCTGTTAAACAGGATTTAATTTAGTCCCTTAATGAAGGCATCTCATGCTATTTGAGATACCCCAGCTATCTTGCTAAGCTTCCCGCTCCTGCTCCAAAAGGGCACAGCTGTGATTACCTCTGCAAAACCTCAATGACCATGGTTAACTTGGCAATTTTAAAAAGCAAACACATTTACTCCTTACAGTCCTTGCAAAGCAAAGGAGTCCTGTGTGTGTCCTTTTGTGTTGGAGTTATATCATTAGGGAACAGCTGAATTTAGGATGAATTTTAAGGTGGCTGCTTTGAGCAGTGCTAGAGGATGCAAACTCATGTGTGATACAAGCACGTGAGCGATGAGCCATCCTCACAGCACTTCTCACCCTGCAGGCAGTAGACCTCTGGTGAGCCAGAGGATACTCGAAAGTGATTTACTGTTCTATTTGAAGAATTTTTCTTTAAGGTTGGGCAACAGCTAAGGGCATTTTAGTTGCTTTACTCTCCTGCAGGCAAAAAGTGGAACCCAGAGCCCTCTCCAAAGGGTAGCTCTGTGAAGAATCATAGAATCATAGAATGGCCTAAGCTGGAAGGGACCTTAGAGATCATTTTAATCCAGCCTCGCTGTCGCCAGGGATGCCACCTCTCGACTAGATCAGGCAACACGTGGGGAGCAAACGGGAATCGAGCCCGTGACCTTAGCGTTGTTAGCACCACGCTCAACTGACTGAGCTGACCAGCCCCCTAAGAAAACAATGCTTTCTCTGTTGTTGCAAAATGTTCAGTCTTAATTGGTATTGTCATCAATTTTTCTGATGATTGTTAAAAAATAAAACTAAAATTTAGGTAAACGCCTCTGATTCGTATCATAGAAATCTGAGTTGTGAGCAGAAATTGGTGCGCGCTTACTTTTCAAAACAGAGTAGGGAGAACCACAGTCCCATAAGAAGGATTCAAATGCAGATGTGTTTTAGACTACACTGACTAATCTGAGCTATATCAGAACCGTGTAGGGTAAATTATTCATCGTCTGGGCTCTGTGAAGCTATTTGGGGAACAAGCAGGGGAATTCATGATCCATTACTACACTTACTACTTCTCACAAATATCAAAGCCCTTTGCTAATTTGTGGTGGATTGCACTAAACTTCTGGAAGTTTTTATCAGTTATACAGAAACTATTTTAAGCTGTCGTAACGTAAAGGGCAGACAGTCAGGAATGAAAAATGGCCAGATGTATTCATGGACTAAAGGTTATGTTTTCTCACATAGGTTACCTTTCTAGGAGCTCCCCTTTGAGCCCACAGTCATCTATAGACAGTGAACTGAGCACCTCAGAGCTGGAGGATGATTCCATCTCTATGGGTTACAAGCTGCAGGACCTCACCGATGTTCAGATCATGGCTCGTCTACAGGAAGAGAGTAGGTGCCTTTTTTCATTTTTTTTTTTTTTTTTCAGAGTGGTCTGCAGAAGATTTCCTATTAAAAAACCGCTCCAGTCTGGTCTCGGTCAGATGGATCTTGCTTAAACAGTATATAGAATGGCAGGTGGAAAAATTCTTCACTTGCTCAGAGAAGATGTGCTTTTTGTTGAGTTCAGGTTTAATAGTACTGGATCTTTAAAAACTCAGTGCTTACATTTCTCTGAATCCCAGCTGATAACTCCATAGTCACTGAGTACATTTGGATTTAGAAGATTTATGCCTTACCACATTAATTATAATAATTTCATTTCTGGGGAGGGAAGTTGCTAAAGCATGAGAAAGCTAAAAATAGGCACCTCTTGTGGATTTCTTTGCCTCTACTTTGATTTTAATAGCTGCTAGATGAATTTTGAAATTAATTTCCCTTTAAATCCTGAATTGGGGCATTTAAGTACAACATTTTGATTTGAGACTAGTGAATATGCATAAATCTGAGTTTGACGTGTTATAGTTTGGCTTGATAGTAAGTTTTGGAAAGTGTCTTTATTCATAAATAAAGGACATTTGACTTAGGAGTCACTCAGACAGTAAGTGCAGTATCTTTCTCAAGTCCTGTTAGCGTCAAGTGAGACATCAAGAAGGAAATTATGAGATGGAAAACAAGAGAAATTCAGAGATGGTGACTGAAGGAAGATGCCAGGTAATAAGCAATTAAATAAAATGAAAATAAAATGCGGACAAGAAAAGAGAGCTGCAGCAACCAAACTGAGCAGGACAGAGCAGTCGCTTGTCAGCAGTCAAACTTGCTGAAGGTCTGGAAGCACTCATTATGTTCAGCAGAGAAATTAGAAAGTGTGAGACTTTCCAAGATAGCTGAATTCGCAGCTGGCAAATGTGTGCAATCACAGCTTGGAAATTTTCTGATATTATGTGAAAGTTATTAGGATTTAAATATAAAATAATGATTGTGAGAGATAAAGGATTGCATTACTTAAATGGCAGCTGTGCTCATCTCCGTCAGAGTGAGGTTTAAAAAAAGACTTCAAGTGCTTGGCTTTGTAAGGAATCAGGTCAGTGACAAACTGGAAGGAAAAACACTCTTTTTATTCTAATCTGTGTCAGGTGTAATGGTCGTATCTCATCCTTGTAGTAGCAGCTGGTATATTTTGAGCACGTGACAGTGGTTGTCCACTTAATCCTGTGGGAAGTGGCAGTAGTATACGTGCACCCAGGCACACTCTCTTCGTGTCCACAAATAGAAACTCCCACTCGAGAGGCGGGGAAAAGCATGTTAAGAAGTTCTCGTTATGAAGCAAAGACATCTGTGAAAGCTGAGGGGCTTTTTGCAAATCTAGAAAAGTTGTTATTCGCAGCTGTTAGTGCAGTTACTCAGCTCCTGGAAACGCGATGCTCATCCCCTTTCTCCCTGTCTCCTGTGCTGCTGGGAGAAAGGGGGATGTACAAGGGATGCAGGTGTTTCCCTCTCACTTTACCCGGGTTGAACATGCTTTTCTGGGGCAGTGCTAACAGTGGGGTGGCTTTCAAAACCTGGAGTTCTGAGAAGGCAAGGGTGGGCTGTGTACTTGTGTAAAACACAGCTGTGTTACCGCTATCCTTGTCCATGAGGCTGACTGCGAGCGAGATCTAGTTCTGGTTCGGGGAGACTGGAGAGACACGATATTTATGTGGGTTCTAAGTTTAGGAAATGCCATTGTCAGCTTTTTCATTGCCTGAATAGAAAAGTTTAATAGCGATAGCTTGGAAAACTAAGAGTGACTGTTAATTCCTCTAACTGAGGATGTTTAAAAGTTAAATACTTAATACTCATGTAGTCTTTCTGTTGGCAGAGAAATAGGTGCCTCCTCAAAGCAGTGCATCTTATGTTGAGGTATCTAAGGTATCTCACAGGTACTGCAGTTTGGAGATGCCTGTGTCCTTCTTTTTTTAATTAAAAAGTAGACTTAGGGGAACTAATTCAGGTTTAGATGCCTGAAAGGTAAACACCGAAGGTTAGATCAGGTGAATCTTACCTCAGATCTTCAGCCTGGTGACATGGAAAATCCAGTTCTTGCTGTAAAATTATGTATATTTGCCTGCTTAGTTTTCAAGATTGAAATGCCTGTTAAGAGTTAATCACTTGGCAGAAGCCGAATCATCCTCTCCTTGGAATTTACAGGCCTAAGGCAAGATTATGCTTCTACTTCAGCATCTGTGTCAAGGCACAGTTCCAGCGTTTCTCTGCATTCCTTAAAGAAAGGGACGTGCGGTGACCAGGAGTACGATCGCTATAGTCTTGAGGACGAGGAAGAGTTTGATCACCTCCCGCCTCCGCAGCCTCGGCTCACCCGCTGCTCCCCCTTCCAGAGAGGGATTCCTCACTCACAGACTTTCTCCAGTATCCGGGACTGCAGGAGGAGCCCCACCTCCCCACACTTCCCTTCAAATAATTATCAGCAGCCCTACTACTCTCCTCAAGCCCAAACTCCAGAGCAGCAACCAAATAGGATTAATGGAGGTGGGTTACGTGCTTTTCTGAGAAGTGTTGGTTTGTTTTGGTGTTTTTCCTCAGTGCCAATGCCGTTTTAAAGACCATTTAAACAGCCATTTAAAGGCTGTTTTAAAGTTGTGTCAAGAGTGAAGTGCATTTAGTGTGTGACAGATAGATCAGTCTGTGAATTGTGTCATGCAGTTTAAGCCTGTGCAAATGGTTGAGGTATGTTTTTGTTAAGTAGTTTGCCACAAGATGTGATCTGTGACCTGGTCATGAAAGTCATTGCTTTAGTTTGTTTTAAAGTGCTGCAAGGATGACTACAAGTGAAGAAAGAAGAATCATCTTTTAGTGGGCTTAAAATTAGTTAGAAGAACTGATTGGGCTTTGGTGCTAGGCCTATACCTCTGCCATGTCAATACAGTAAAATGCAAAATAGGGTTTTGAGGTTTTTATTCCCTTTCTTTTTCCCGAGTTTGCTGTTAACGCAGCTATGCTGTGAATCCGTGACGAGTGCTTAAGGCAGGGGTCAACGCTCTGCTCCTGTTCCAGGTCCGGTAGGGGAGACTTAAACTGGTGGGAGATAATGTCACTCCCAAGCTATCCTGAACCACTGCTGTATTTTGCACTGTATTTGAGATGTATTCTAGTGTCTCTGGAAGATCTGTGTCTCGGTGCTTACTCAAGACGTTAGCTTCCCCTCCCTGTTGTTGCTGTTACTTTTCCTTTTATTTCTTTTTATGGTCACATTTTTTTCCCTCCTGCTGCATCTTAGCTTTCCTATTCTTTCTATCTTTTCCTCAAGCTAATTGAAAACAGTCAGTTTTCAGTCAGGTTCTCATTTGTAACATAACAGGTTACAGCTTACCCTTGGGCAGGAAAGTAAATGTATTGTTCTCAACAACACAAAGTTGCTATTTATAGAGCAGTACAGGTATGCATGTTGCTTTCCTGACAAATAAGACATGACAGGTTGGTGCCAAAAGCAGTCGCATTCGAAGTAAGACATGGCATGGAAGCATAACTAATAAGTGGCAGTATGTAAAGATGGCAGTGTTAACAGAGGATAGAGCAACATGGGTGTTTGTTGATGCAACATATGTGCCATATTTATTTTAGTATTTTTCTTGCTGGTGAGCTACAAGAATGGGATGGCACTGATGCGCTTGGCAGAAATGTTGAGGAGATAGGAGGATTATAAGGCATTTTTGGTTCAGGAACAAGGGCAAGGTGTGGTGCTGCGATACTTTTATATGGTCCCCAAATATTTTTCAATGTTTTTTTCATGTTCCATGTTAGTGGAACTAAAGCATAGGATTCCCATGTGGAAACTTCAGAAAATGCTTACAAGGCACTAAAACCATCAGACTCCTAATTTATTAACTAGAAAGTGTATAAATGTAAAAGGGCACCAATTTTGACTACCTGGTTCCCTTTTTTTCCTCAAGACCTTTGAAGTGTTGGGTCATCTGGTGTTGCTCAGAAGATGGATGTACATGACTTCTTCAGTACCTGTTTGCTGGGATGGCAGACAGTCCTGTAATAGCCAGTACCACTGTCTTTAGCAGGAATTATCTCTTCAGCTTTTTCACCTTCAGCCTATGACTCACGCAGCACTGATCCACATAAGTGGCAGATACTGATGGTGAGAAATAATTCACTGTGTTCTGTGGGCAGAGAAGGAGTCAAGTATTTGCTGTATGGACTATGAGTAGTATTGCGACATCTTCTCATCATTGCTTCTAATGATCTTAGCGACAATTTCATTGTTTTTGCAGACATGTTTTTTTCTACACATTGAAATGGAGGTAGACTGCAAAATAAGAATTTCTCTGAAGCTCAATATGACGGGTGGTGTGTTCCATGCTCTTACAGTTTACCAAGGCAGATGAGAAAGAGGGGTGTGATAGATGGAAGGGATGAACTGCTTAGTTCTGCTTTCAGTATATGTGGAAAGCATCGTCCATTATTATCAAAATCATATATATCACATGCTGGGCTGCTCTAGGCCATTCCAACAGTCTTCCCAAATCTCTCTTCCTCACTCTTCCCCTAAAGAGATCACTTAGGTTCTTTTATATGTGGTCAACACTGGCTGCTGATTTTTCTGATCGTTCACAGAGCTCTCCGTGAGTAAGTGGCATGTAACCTCAATTCTGGCACTCAGTCTGGGGTGAAAAAACAGTGCTTAGCTTTGACATAAGAATGTTTTGGCTTGGGAAGGGCCCTAAAGATCATCTAGTTCCAACCCCCATGTCATGAGCAGGGACACCTTAATGCTAGACCAGGTTGCTCAAAGCCCCATCCAGCCTGACCTTGAACACTGGAGGGGAAATTCACAGCTTCTCTGGGCAACTTGTTCCAGTGAAATGTCTCCCCCGTGTCTGCCCAAAATTAGTCCGTGTTTAGCTCAAGCACAATTTTTTGCATTTAGGAACACATAGTACGAGGGATGCTATCCTAACTGTGCTTAGTGAAATTTGTTTGCTACGGTACGCTAGCTGAGGTACTTACTCTAAGTACCTGTACTGTAGCAGATGTGTTGAAGGTGTGAAGAACTTGGAAAACTTCAACAATTCTTTGACAAGTACAACATTGGTTGCCTGATGGAAAGCACTTGCATTCAGATCCTGACTTGTGGGTGCCCACACGTGTGTGAAAGGCCCAAATCAGCTGCCCACATGCAAGCACTTAGCACCATACGAGGTACTTTGCACCCGTCTTGGCTTCAGCATCGCCGCGTGTCAGTGCTGTTTAGATGCCGTAGACAACCCAGGGCCTCTCAAATGGCACGAGGTACCTCTACGTAGACAATGGGTTGTGCAGTCGGTATTCAGTCTCTCAGTAGAGCTTATGGTCTGCTTGTTCTCCAGCCACAGGATTGTGTTTTAGGTAGGAGAGAGAGATTGTCTGGGGTTTGTGGAACCCTGGTGATACTCTGCCTGTGCTTGGAGTGAGGATACTCTCACAGATGTATCCCAGCAGTGTTGGAGGCCATAATTTTGAACTTGCACATTGTTCTTTCCAATGTATTGTAGCATATTGCTGTCCTTGCTGTAATTACAGATTCATAGAATTGCTTAGGTTGGGCAAAAAATGTTTAAAATTGAGTCCAGCCGTTCACCTAGCAATGCCAGGTTCACCACTAAATCATGTTCCTGAACACCACATCTGTGTATCTTTTAAATACCTTCGGGGATGGTGGCTTCACCACCTCTCTGGACAACCAGTTCCAATGCTTAACAACCCTTTTGGTGAATAAATTTTTCCTAATATCTAATCTAAACCTCCCCTGGTGCAACTTGAGGCCATTTTCTCTTGTCCTGTCACTTATTTTCTGACACTGCCGTGTTCTAAATTGCTGTACACGTATTTTAAAATTAAAATACCATACATCTGTTTTAAAATACCACACTATAACCCCCACTCTCAGGCCCAGGTTCTTTCTCTCACCTCCTCCCACCCACGTCTGAGTGAATAGTATCAGTCCCGTTTACTGCCAGTCCCTGACAGCTTGCTGTACTGAAAATCTCCTGGTAAACTCTAGCATAAAGTGGCAAATGTGTGCAAATATAAGTATGTTAAGATGTGAAATATGTTGTTACATGTCTTAAACAACATTTTTGCAGCCATCACCTGTGGTGTGTCCATATTATCTTTGCTAATACTCTAATAGAAAAGTTTTGCATGAAATTTGCTTCTTTCTTTTTTTTCCCATATTTAATTATATGGTGTCTTTAAATCAGCTGAATTGTCTGTAACAATGAGTAACATCAGAAAAATTCCATCTGTGAGCTTCTTAAGACATTCACATTTTCAGGGATTTTGTAATTGTTTAATGGGTCAGAAATCGATCATTAAAAGAAGATCTGAGAATAACAGGAGGTTAATCGCTTTTTTTTAGTATTTGTTACAGTTGGCTAAAGTGAGTTCATCTCGTTGGTGTGCGTTTTATAATTTATTGAAGCTTTTAATACGTTGTCAGTGGAAAGATTTGTCTTTATCCCTCTCTGTCCTTCCTCTAATTTGAAGATCACAGAATCATAGAACAGCCTAGGCTGGAAGGGACCTTAGAGATCATTTTTAATCCAGCCTCCCTGCCACCAGGAATAAAAAAAATGCGCATGATTAACAACTTAAAATGTTATTACCTCTATTATTATCAAGAACACTTTATCTTTTATCATTTCATGTAAGAAGTACCACCAAATTTCATAAACCCAAGCTATTTTCTGGTTTATGTTGTTCATAAATGTACGCTTTTTATTTGTTTTGACACAGAAGTAATCTCTTTCATTTTAACTTTTTAAAAATATGTTTTCAAATTTCTATTTGGTCACTTTATTCTTTTTGAATAGGTGTTAATACTTATGCCCTTATTACTTCTGATTTTCTGAAGCCAGAACTAACAGAGCTGTAATTCTGTGGAATCATACAGAGTACTCACAATTTACACACACAAGATACTGAAAATGGGCTTGATCTTCTTGTATTCAGACTCACTTTCCAGACTTTGAGATAAGCTTATTCATAAACTTTTAGCCTGACAGTGGTTATTTCATGAGCATTTTTATAATATCTGAAAGTTGAAAACTTTGCATTTTGCACCAATTATTCCAGTTACGGAGTTTATTGTAATGTAATAAAAAGGGGTATGTGAGAAAATATATCCATCATTGTGTTAGCAGTGCATGCAGTCTGGTTAATTTTAAAGTTTATTTTCCATTACCTTTTCCTGTTGGTCTTTAAGTTTTTAGATTGGTTGATAACTTCATAAAAAGGCTACAGATACTATTCACGTGAAAGTTTTGATTTTATCTTCTAGAAATTACTAGTTATGAGTTATTTTATTGCATATATTTCTGGGGAATAACTTTTTCTCAGGCACAGTATTATGAACATCATTGGCAGTTGCAACACCCTTGCCTCATTTGGAATGCTGCAAATGTGGGTGTGTTGTATTTTGTTTTTGTTCTTTTTCTTTAAGCAAAAACCCAGGCAGATAGAGACAAGCAGGATTTTGGGGG